GAGGAGGAGGAGGAGGAGGAGGAGCGGAGGCAGGAAACAAAAGGCAGCAGGAGCCGGCCCAGACGGGAGACGCCGCTCAGGCCCAGCAGGTGAGTGCGGGGAGACCCCTGTCGCCCCCAAAGTGGCCCCGAGAAGCCGCCCTCCATTTCAGCCTTCCCTCCAAAAGGTCCTACGTTGGGAGCAGGACGAAGCACCGCGCGTTTGCATTGCTAGGAGGAGCCTGTGTGCCTGTGTGCTTTGAAGCTTTTATATGTTGTCGGGTCCTCCATTTGGGGTGTGTGTGTGTGTGTGTGTGTTTGCCTGTCCTCCATTTCAGCCTTCTGGCCAGGAGGGAATTCCAAAAAGTCTTGCACTCTGAGCTTGCTTAAGGAGCACGAGTTTACATTTCTAGCAGGAGTGTTTGTTTGTTTGTTTTTTAAGCGTTTATATGTGGGCAAGTCCTCCCTTTTATCTTGCAAGGTCCTCCATTTGGGGGGGGTGCCTCGTCCTCCATTTCAGCCTTCTGTCCAGGAAGAATACCAAAAGGTCCTACATTCGGAACAGGACTAAGGAAGCACGAGTTTACATTTCTAGGGTGTTTTAAGCTTTTATATGTGGGCAAGTCCTCCCTTTTTTCTTGCAAGGTCCTCCATTTGGGGGGCGCCTCGTCCTCCATTTCAGACATGTGTGCCGGAGGGATTCCAAAAGGTGCTACATTCTGAGCAGGACTAAGAAGCATGGGTTTACATTTCTAGGAGTGTTTGTAAAGCTTTTATATGTGGGCAAGTCTTCCTCTTTTTCCTGCAAGGTCCTCCATTTGGCGGTGCCTTGTCCTCCTTGGGAGTGAGGACATCTGGTCACCTTTTCCTGGAAGGAAGGAAGGAAGGAAGGAAGGAAGGAAGGAAGGAAGGGGGCTCCTTGAGCTGTTGGCTCCTGGCTGAGGAGGGGACTGTGGGCTTGCCACGCTGGCACCGGAGGGAGCCTTCGCCCGTGAAAGTGAACCTGGGGAAAGAGAAGCCTCTGAGGGGGAGAGTTGTTGTTGTTGTTGTTGTTGTTGTTGTTGAGTCCTGAGGGGTCTTTTTTGTGAGGCCCCCGCCCTACAAAGCCAGGCCTCTTGGCCAAGGAATTGGCGCCCTTGCCAAGGCAGGGAGGAGTTTGTCCAAACAAAGCTGCCTAGTTGGGATGGAAGCCTGGTCCTCAGCCTCCTGCTCGGCTTGCCAACTTGTGGTTGTGGGTAGTGTTGTGTGCCTTCAAGTCGTTTCCGACTTATGGCGACCCTCAGGCAACCCTGTCGTGGGGTTTTCTTGGCCAGGTTCTTCAGAGGGGGGTTGCCATTGCCTTCCCCTGAGGCTGAGGGAGTGCGACTTGCCCAAGACCATCCAGTGGGTCTCAGGGCTGAGAGAAAACCAAACCCTGGTCTCCAGAGTCATAGTCCAGTACTCAAACCACTAGGCCACACTAACTCTCTAACTTGTGATGTGGGGGGGGGGGATATCCATGATCAGTGGAGCAAAGGGAGGCATTTGTTAACAGTGAATGGAGAGCTGTGGTGTTCTGTTCGGTCAGGATTAGGCAGGGCTTCATTGGCAGAGGATTGTGTCTGCATCAGTGGACCAGGATGCCCAGAAGAAAGGGGGAAAGGCCACCGCTGCTCCTGTCCTCTCAAAATCCTCGGCTTATGCAGCGAAATACCTGATCCCCAGCCAGAGACAAAAACACCTGTGAGGAGGCAGAAGACTTGACAGCTGGCAGCAACCCTACTTGCTCTGTTTGCAAGGGAGGAGGCGGCATGGCTTGCCTGGTGTCAATACTGGAGCTGAAACATTAACCATGACTTTGCCAGATCTTGTTAAACTCAACAGCTGGCTGTTCCACTGCTTGATAACTAAGCAGCGTGCTTTTAAACTTTTTAAAGGTTCTCTTCCCCTCCAATTTATTCTATCTTCTGGGTTGCATCCGCAGCGCAGAAATAATCCAGTTTGACACCACTTTGACTGCCAGAGCTCAATGCTGTGGGATGCTGGGAGTTGTAGTTTGTTGTGACATCAAACTACAGTTCCCAGGATTCCATAGCATTGAGCTGTGTCAAACCAGGTTATTTATCCAGTGTGGATGTGGCTTGAGTCCCCCAGCCAACTTCTTGGAAAGCAAGCACACACAGCCCTTCCTCAAAGCTCTGTGAATGCTCCCCACTTTTGTTGTGTGCATAAGGATGTCTGGGCAGGGGTACTAATCCACTAACACTGTGATTCCCAAATGTTGGTCCTCCAGATGTTTTGGACTTTAGCTCCCAGAATTCCTGACTATTGGCCAAACTGGATGAGGTTTCTGGGAGCTGAAGTCAAGATCATCTGAAGGACCAAAGTTTGGGCAGCAGAAGGCTAGTTCAGAGCTCTGAGGGGCCAAACTACATGATGATAATCACACCTTTAAATGGGTGTGTTTCACCTGGCTACTTCTATTTTGGAGAGACAGCAGCTGATCCAGACTGTGGAGGGGGCTCTTCATTGATTTTCTGCTAGAAATGCCTCCCTCCCTAGCTGTATTTTTGAGAGCCAGTGTAGTGTAGTGATTTGAATGTGGGAGGCCAGGGTTCAAATCCCTGCTTGACTGTGTCAGTATGGGCAAGTCACACACTCTCAGCATCAGAGGAAGGCAGTGGCAAACCTCCTCTGAACAAATCTTGCCAAGAAAACCCCATGCTCGGTTCATCTTAGGGTCGCCATAAATTAGAAAGAATGAGTGTGGTGCAGTGGTTTGAACATTGGACTACAACTCTGAAAACCAAGGTTCGAATCCTCTGTTCATCCATTAAAATCCATTGACCTGGACAAGTCATGCTCTGTTAGCCTCAAAGGCAGGCAAAGGCAAACTTCTGAACAAATCTTGCCAAGAAAACCTGTAATTGAGTTGCCATAAGTTTGAAATTATTTGAAGGCACACAGCAGCAGCAGCTGCATTTCTCTCTTGTAAATGTTATTTAAAACAAGCTACCTTTGATGAAAAATATGAGTCAGTGGGTGGGAGTTTTAAATAGGAAAATGGTCCTGATTGTAATAATGTAGGTAGATTTCTCTCTAGAATAAACCAGATCCGTCACTCTTCTGGATAATGTTATGTGTAAGTTGGCCTCTAGGGTTTCATCCAAACCTGGAGAAGGCGGTAGGAAGGGATGCAGAGGCTCTCTGATGCCTGCATGCTTAGCATAGCAATTCTGAGGTCTCCAGTTCGAGGTTCTGCTACTGGTTTAGATGTATTCTATCCCTGTTTTGGCTTATTGCAGAGTATGCATGCAGGTGTCTTGCACAGATATCTTGCACAAACACCAGGGACTGGTAGTATTACCTAACTCATGGATCCTTGCTGGATGATGCCATTAGAGCAGGACTTTGGGGGAAATTTTGGAGCCCCATTTGGCTAAGGGAAGGGGGCAAAGGAGGCAAATGCAGCAGATCCAGATTACTGTATCTTGAAGTAATGAAGTTATACCCATTATTACTAAGCCATTGAGTTCAGGGTCTAAAATATCTTAACTGTACCAATGTTTGGCCTCTTTCACGTGGGCAGGCAAAAGCACTCATGCACACAAAAATAACTTTGGCAACCAACTAACTTGGGTGTTGAAGTATGAAGGGGAGGCAGGATATTGATTTCATTTGGCATGGGGATCTACTCAACAGAGCTATCTATTTTGAGATGTTCTCATCTTGAGAAGGAGATGCATTCATGTCCAAAATGCGAGATACAATTTGGAAGTGGGGAAATAGAAGCTTCTCACTTTGCATATGCCCAGGATATTTCAGACTGATCTGTACAGAAATCTCCTTACCTAATCAAACTGTATATGACTAAAATACTGGATGCCATAGAAATTAGCAGTGAAAACACACACACCCCCCACAGAGACTATTCACTCCCTCGCCGCTTGCCTTTCAGTGGTTTAACTATGCAGAGGTAGGCATTTTGTGTATGGACAGTACTTCTGCTCAGGGTAGAAATAATAAATCTTTGGCTGCTTTGAGTTACAACCTTTCTCAGGATTATTCTAGCAAACACAGCTGATTTATTCATGCTAAGTGCTTCAGATCTGGTTGTTGAGCTAGAGAGCAAGTGTGCATGTTTAATAAAAGATTTAGTGAATAAAATGCATGCCTATTTGAATAGAACATTAACTCGTGTGACCTCAGCAGCTAGTTAACATCCAAAATTCCCCTGTGCCCTGAAGTACTCTGATGATGTGTTATCTCCAGATGGTCTCAGGGCAGTAGGTATGTAGGCTAGGTTTCTCTTTCTCTAGGAATGGTTGTTGTGCCTGCCTGATTAGTGGAGTCTAGGAAAAAATAAAGTGGCATTTTAAACTGAAGAACATAGCTAAAGAATAACCTGAATAGTCTGATTTCTATCAAATTCTTGTTTCACATGGGGGGGGGGAGAAATAAAACACAAAGTAGTGAACTTTTATAAAAGGTACAAAAATACATTTGTAGCACTACCCCCCCCCCATCCTTGTACTTACACTCTAATCAAATTTGCACTGAATGCAATAAATGAAACATTGTTTTCAAATCTATAAAGAACTCAAGATAAATTCTAAATGGTTTCAGGTCTTACATACCTTGAGGATTGCTTTCTTCTGTATGCACTTTACAGTTGGCCCTCCATTTTGTGGGGGATCCGTTCTCATAGAACTCTTCTATGATCCTATGATTCCATGAATTGAATTATACTCACAAGATCTAGTCTACTAGCAGATCTATGAACAAATACAGTGGCATCAAGGCACACTACATATATTAAGACAATGACTTTGGGCAAGCCATACCTTCTCAGCCTCAGATAGCAATGGCAAACTCTTTGAAGAAACTTGCCAAGAAAAACCCCATGATAGGTTCACCTTAGGGTTGCCATAAGTCAGAAATAAATGGAAGGCACACAACACACATACGTGTATGCGCGTGCACACAAACACATCTGTTACTGCACATGTAACTAAAGGAATCTTCTCAGATAGTGTTTTGAATGTAGGGAAACTGACTTTTGGTAAGCAGATTTATTACTTTGACATATCAACACTAGTTGACCACTGTAAAGATCTGAAAGGACTGTACCACCTCACCCAGTCCTTTGAAAATTTAGGGCAAGGGACATAATTTGCATCATTCTGGATCCTGTTACATTGCTATCCACTCCCACAATTGTATAACTATGCTTTTTAATCTGAGGCTTTAATATCCCTCTGTACAATACTGTATCTGAAGAAGTGATTTTATATCTACAAATGATCATGTTTAAATAAAAACCAGTTAGTCTTAAAGGTGCTGTTATATTCCATCTTCCCCCTCCCATTCTCCTTTTTTGCTTTAAAAAAATCAGTTTTGTAAATTACATCCATACACTCTAACCACGGTGATTAGAAAAAGAAAGATTGTTTATGGCATTTTCAAGACAACTTCTAAGAGGCCTTTTATTACAAAATGACATAAGCTTACAACCTGTTTCATGAGATGCATATATATATATATAAAGTTTGTTTCAAGGTTTCATCAAGGATTTCTCTTTATTATTTCATATTATACAATTAATATCATAAATCCAGTTGTTAGATCCAACACAAACAGACTGATTGTATCAATTGGATTTACATATAGGGTCTAAAACACACTGCAGATATAATCCAGTTTGAGACTGCTATAACTGCCCTGGCTCAATGCTACAGAATTCTGGGAACTGTAGTTTTGTGATACATTTAGTCGCCTTTGTCAGAGAGACCTCTGATGCCACAACGAACTACAATCCCCAACATTCTCTAGCACTGAGCCAGGGCAGTTAAACCATTCTCAAACTGGATTATTTCTGTAGTGTGTTTTGGACCTAGGTTGACAAGTCAGTACTCACATAAATATAGATTCAGTGGGTCTATTAGAGTTGGGAATCGCAGCTGAATGTAGACTATGTGGCCAAAATAAATTATCGTATCCCTAAAGCAGAAGGCAAGGTGCTCCCTGCTAGAAGGACTTGTCAAATTCAAACAATATGAATAATTCACTTAAATGAATACATCAGATGTGACTACCAAAGTTTTTTTGTCTTTGGCAGATACCTTAGTAGTTTCAGCATTGGACTATGGTTCTGGAGGCTGGGGCTTGAATCCCTGCTGGGCATGGAAACCCATAGGATGACCAGAGAGTCACACTCTCTTAGCACCAGCGGAAGGCAGTAGCCTAATGTGGAATTTCTTCCTGTAGCTTGCATTCATTGGTCCAGGTCCTATTCTCTGGAGCAGCAGAAAACAAGCTTGCTCCATCCTCCATTCATTTGTTTCTCTTTCTAGTTTTCCTCTGTAATTTCCTGAAGGACTGCAACCTGTTCATCCTTTATTGTATGTCCAGGAAGGTTGAAATGTTGTGCAATTGATTTTTGGGTATTGCCATTTCTAATGCCAGTTTGTGTCCATTTACTGCATTGAGACTGTACTGCTTTTCCATGTAGAACATAGGGGGACATTGTTGGCATGGGTTAGCATATAGCACATTGGAGGAAGAACAAGTAAATGCCCCTCTGATGGGCAATATTATTGGATCTGCTAATTTTGCTCCCAGAATAGATGTGGGGACAGAGTTGGCATCTGAGTTTGTGTCAGGGTCTGTCTGTGTATTACCATCCATGTTATATATCCTATTATAAGTGCTGCTACCTTCTTTCCTTGGCCCACTTTCTCCCTTCCTACTTCTTATGCTGCAAGAGACTAATGCTGCTACTTTTTTGAAATCTTTCTGAAGGTATCTTAAATAGGATAGTTTAGTTAATAGGCTAAGATAATGCCATATTTTTAAGATAGTGAAACTTCCATTTTCCTAGTTTAGTTTAACCCCTTTCTTCTCATTGCTCACTTCCTTATTTTGATTATTTTCTATGCATATTGTCAGTCCATGTTTTATGGCTTTTAATTTTGTAACTTACTAATTACATCAGAAGTGGGAAATTTGTGGCCCTACAGATGTTGTTTGACTATATTTCCCACCAACTAGCCAGTGGAGCACATTTTAATGGATTGTAGATGTTCTAGTCCAACCAGGTCTGGAGGGTCAGAGGTTTGTTATGTCCACATTACTTGGTTAAGACGGTTTTGACACTTGAAAAATAATGTAACTTGGACCTGACAGTTTATCAAGTCAGCACTATTATATTGTCAATTTCAAAATAAATTCTACTATTATAGCCTATTTTGATGAATGTCAGTGATTATACACATCAATAATATATTCCTGACACAGTATTAATCCTTTTGGTTACATTCTTGAGTTGTTCTACATCCTTTATATAGAGAAGAAGAATGCTGAAATACTTGCGCATATTTCACGAGGTGGATGTGTTAGAGGTCAATTCACATTTATCACTGCTTTTGCTATGTTGGCAGGATGCACAGATTTCCCAAATTCTACACTTGGAATACATTGTGGAAATGTGCATACATTTCCTTTAATTTACTATACTATTAGCATCAAGGATTTATTCTGATTTGGTTTTTTCCAAAACACAACATGTACTAGCATGTTAATGCCATCTTTATGCTTCAGTTTTCTCAGGGACAGTGGTTGCCAATTTGGCAGCAAAACAGGAAGTATCTAATTGTTTTTTTAATTGCCTCTTATCATAGACATGTGGGGTTATTGCCTCTTGTTTTATGTAATGCTTTCTATTCCCTGTGTGTTGATGCTACTTGTTTGTTTGGACTAGCAGTATATTTGATGTCTGACTTGTCTGTGTTCAGTATGTCAGCATGCCAGTCACTCTTAAAGCACTGGGAAAAG